GTGTGTGTGTGTGTGTGTGTGTGTGTGTGTGTGTGTGTGTGTGTGTGGTATTTAATTCTTGTCTTCACAGTTGTTATGGACTGAGAGCCGGTTCTGCAGGGGCTACAGTAAACTAGATCCTCTGATTCACAGCAAGCTAAGCTGGGGTGCAGCGTGGTCTGCTTCACACAGGTTTCCTGACATGATGTTGAACAAAGAGGCCTATCAACTCTGAAAAGTCCACTTACAAGCTTGTTTTCACCTTTCCATCTTTCCTCCTTAAAGTTGCAAAGCTTTTTCCCTCGTGCCCTCCTGCAGCCGGCCTCCCTGACGTGATTCCTAATCCCTCATGTGTCAGCGCTCATCTCTGCCAATTTTCAGTTCAAATTGCCTTACATTTGTTAACGTGACATTGCTGATGGTTGCATGCTAATGGTGCAGCTGTGAGTGTTTTCTTGGACTCCGCGCAGGATTTGCTTATGTTAACCATATGTTTTGCAAAATTGTGATTATTGTGTTTGACTACATTCAGACTTCTTCAATCCTAAAGTGTTCCTCTGACTTACACTTACAGTTTCATCTGAATATCAGTCCAATTACATTTTTGAGATGTTCCCCCTCATTTATAGTCATGAGCAGTGACACTTAGATGGTCTGTTTCTCTTTCTGACTCTCGCTCTTGCTCTCACTCCCACTCCTCGTCTCTGATGTGACAGTGCTGGCAAATTGTGATGTGCATGAAAAATGTTGTTTGAGTGCTGGCTTCTGGTGTGTAATTGAAACACTGGGACACTTTTACAACGCTTTCCCCTCACCCCTCCAGTGCCAGCTGTGCCACTGATGAGCAGTAGCGTTGCCTCAGACATCTCTCATGCTGCTGGCAGGTGGCAAGCAGATACATTCTCTGTTTTTTGTTCCTGGTTTACGCAAACAAACCTGCAGCAACACACACACCTCTCACCACCTAATATGTGCCACAAGATACTTTATGCTTGTTTTGCTGTGACATTGTGATTTAACACTGTTGCAGGAAGACGTACTGTATAGTGTCCTGTATTTTGGAAATGCATGGTTCGGCTCAGATGACACCCAGTTCTGCGTGTACTTGCTTACTTTACTACTCAGATTTAGGCAGATATGCATCTAAAACATCTAAGTAATTCTCGAAACAACGGATCCCTGATTTATACCAGAGGTAAAATCAGAGAAAAGAATCTTCACTGGTTGATGATTGACTCGTCATGATGACTAAGACGTTAAAATAATGAAGCAGAATTGTTCTTGTATTGCGCTGTAGAGCTGGTAGAGTTCGGGGGAGGCGTTTTGCAAATGGTCAATTATAATAATTACATTTACACATTTTAATGGTGAATTATTTATCACACACCATCATTATCGCCACCCCATGCTTGTTCAGAAATCATGACTGTTAAAATACAGCATTCAGATACAGAATTGTCCAGAGTGACATGATCAGTGAGGTGTAACTAATTTAAATCCTATTTGTTCCCTTCATAACTCTTTCAAGGTGAAGTTGTGGCCTTCGGCGACAGCAAATCGTTGACCTTCTCACAGTGTCAACAATGTGTCCTCTGACAGTTTGACGTCTGCATTTTGATATAGTTGCCCAAATTAAGAACAGTGTAGAGTCAATCAAGGTCCTCTGCAAAACACAGTGGAATAGGACATTGCATTAAGATGTTTCTGTTTGATTTAAAAATAAATGCCTGTTTTAAACGACCCATGCGTCACTACTGGATTGGAATTGAAGGTTAAATTCAGAGGTTGATGAAGTTTCGTCTTTTGGATGTTAACAAAGCTAATACTGTCTTGGCATTATGGATAGTGGGCTACTTAAAATAATTAATAATAGTTGTATTGGAATAGGCTATATAGAATGTAGGCCACACAGACAGAGAGTCACAGAGAGAGAGAGAGAGAGAGAGAGAGAGAGAGAGAGAGAGAGAGAGACACAGCCCCTCCCCCACAGTCCTCCTCAGTTTGTAATATGATATTCCCGCATAAGTAAACAGTAACACATGGTGAACTGCTCCCTGCTGAGTTTAAACTGCTCTGCTTAGTACATTAGCTAGATATCCAAAATGCTCCCACACTGGCCAATTCAAAAGTCTTTTTTTGGCAGATATAAGAGATTTGTTTTCACGTGGGCTACAATGCAGGAATCAGGACACCACAGATTTCGTAGTTTCTACTATTCTTAGAGTAATGAAACTGTGACGTTATGCAACTGCGGTTACGGCAAGATCGGTTAATCCCGACATCCCTAGTTGTGACCAAATTTGATCTGCAGTATTTGGTTGGAGTGTTGGAGAGCATTTGCTGAGCTAACTGTGTATGTGTGTGTGTGTGTGTTGGCAGGGTGCGGCTGGAGGCCTTCTCCGACAACAGCGGGAAGCTGCAGCTCTCTCTGCAGGAGATCATAGAATGGCTGACCGCCAAGGACGAGGAGATGTCGGAGCAGCTGCCCATAGGAGGCGACGTGGGGGCCGTCCAGCATCAGAGGGAGTTCCACCAGGTAATGTGGATTATGATACCTTTGTTAGTGCAAATATTACACCCCCTGTACAAACACTGATGGGATGGAGTCTATATTCTGCCCAAGGGTAAATCGATATCCACGTCATGTCTATACCCGCACAAAAACACACATGTACTCAGAAAAATTGGGCGTTGTGTGTGAGGGGACAAGACTCATGCTACAGTACAGAGTGCCCATTAAAGCCCCTATATATGCATCCATGTGGGAGCAGTGTGAAACATATATTGAGGGCGTTCCTAGGGTAATGTGCTTTGATCTGTGCAATGTGATGTCATTGAGATGTCAGAGGCAGGGGGTTGGAAGCAGTGTTTTGTAGCGGGTGGTAAGTGGAGGAATTTGTTGTTACTGGAGACAGTTACCATGGTAAAGTGACATGAGGAGCAGTCGGGTATTATGGGTTGTATGTTTTTTTTTTTTTGGAGGCGTTTGCAGATAACAGAGTTTGTAGATATCACAAATATTGGTCACAGCTGAATTTATTGTCCAGCCTGAATCAATAGTGCTTTCTCCAAGTTTCAGCTAGCCGTTACTATTGATGGAGGTGATGGAGGTGGGGCTCTGAGCACTGCAGTGTGTGTTGCGAGTGCCAAGGACCAAGTCTAGTGCAAATTCATCTTTTCTGCAAAGAAGTGGTTTATTAAATGCGTAAATAAACGTGACTTTAAAGACACCGTAGAATAAAGAAATACATTTAACTACAGTTGTAACCGCTTACAGGCTCAAGTCTGTCCGGGTCAAATTGATGACTATAAGCTGATGATTATTACAACTAAAAGTTTGTTATTTTTCTTTATTCCTAATGCAGATCACCATCTAATGGATATTTGTACACTTATAAAATGCCTAATGATAACCTAATGAAATGCACAGCTTTGCTATTTACTGAATTTTGTTGGTTGTTTCAAAATACGGCCCCTTGATGAGGGTGGCTTCGACTACAGGTGCTTTCTGTTTTTTGTCTCCATCACTAGCAGCTATGACTCCTTGTTTGAGTAACTGCACAAGTAAGCCTGAGGAACGTCAAGCTTTGCTGCATCTTGTTGGCTCGGTTTTGGCAATTTGTCATGCATAAACTTCAAGGAGGCATTGTTTTTTTATTGAGAGAAAATCACTCTCTTTTTCCATTCATGATTTCGTTGTGCGCGCAGCACCAGCCTCAGGTAGGCAGGAATGAGTTTGCACTCAGTTGACTTGACTGAACTAGGGCGGCAACTCGATTAATCTGTAGATTATTTTCTCGCTTAATCAAATAATCATTTGGTTTCTAAAACATCAGAAAGTGATTGAAGAATGATAGAAGTCCAAAAGCACAACAACAACAAGGCAGTAGATCATTATAAGACACCTAAAACACGTAAAACACACAATCTGCACACTACAACCATGATTTTCTTTAAAAATCCAGTGACTCTTTGTTAAATAAATTAGTGTTGATCACCACTGAGCCAGGTGAGGATTAGCTGCTTCATCTCTTTGTGATGGCGATCAGTCAACAGTAATATGTGTGCTGAATAAAGGCTACAGACAAGCATTTTTATCAGATGTTTTATTTCTCATTATTCGATAGTGTTCAACAAACATTTTGTTAAAGCTGGTCATGCCTTTTTAGCTGCTACGCCTACTCCTACCGTCAACCCTGCTGACTCAGCGGCAATCATTGATCCCCTCCCTCCAAGTAACCCCACAGGAGATTGAGGTGCTCAGGGAGCTGCTCAAACTGGATCCTCATATTTCAGCTGGATTGGATACCCTAGATCCTTTCTTCCTTAAGCTATTAGCTCATATTTTCGCAGCCCCCTTATCTGTTCAACTTCTCCTTGCAGACCTGTGTATTCCCCTAAGACTGGAAATCGGCTGCTGTCACCCCTCGCTTCAAGGGGGGGGGGGGGATATATTAGACCTAAACTGTTACAGACCTATTTCCATCTTGTCTTGCCTATCCAAAGTTTTTGAGAAACTGGTCAACAAACAGCTCACCCACCACCTGAAGTCCCACAGTATTATCACCTCCATGCAGTCTGGCTTTAGAAACGGCCATAAGTGTGTCTCTGCAACGCTTAAAGTGTTAAATTACATCATATGTGCCATCGATAGGAAAGATTACTGTGTGGCTTTGTACAGTCAGAGCTAAGGGTTACCTATCTGACCCACTGTCCCTGTCCAAGGGTGTTCCTCAGGGGTCCATTCTAGGTCCAACCTTATTCAGAATCTACATAAACGATGTTTCTCACTCTGCAGGTGGCTCTCACACCCATTTGTATGCCGACGACACCGTCTTGTACACATCTAGCTCCTCCCTGAATACCACCCGGACTTCCCTGCAGCACAACATCACCTTCTCTTAAACATGACCAAAACAAAATGTTTTTTTTCAACAAACACTTACCACAAACTGCAATCAGAACTCCAATTTGTGGATTCCTATAAGTAATATAATTGGTTTCCTGTACCGTAACAAAGCCTCCTTTTCCCACTTTGCAAAGCACACCCTGGTTAAAATGACAATTCTTCCCATTTTAGACTATGGTAATGTAATGTACAGGTCTTCTTAATAAACTAGATGTCATCTACCACACCGCTATTCGCTTCGTCACCGGTGCTCCTTTCAACACTAATCATTGCAGGATTAGTAGCCATTTTAACTTTTTTATTTTTAAAAATAATAAAGTTCAAGGCTTAAGGGAACTTCAGTAAGAGTTGCTGACAGAGAAGTCCACCTTCTCCTCCTCCTGTCAGATAATTCCTCCATGGTTCAGTGATTTGAACTGCTTTTAAATCCCTTCAAGGGCTTGTGTGGATAGAAGAGCACACAAGCTCACAAACTCGGAGACTGAGACCTTATTGATCACGACACAAATCAGTGCTTGTTTATCTTTCCAATAAATATTTACTTCTTCCTATTGAGGGCAGGGAACTAATACTTTCACTAAAAACCTGTGATCAAAATTTGACTTCCTGGTTGTCAACAGATTCTGCGGGACATGAGTTCAACTGAAATGTTGTCTGTTGATTTTCATACATACAACAAGCTTCTTCCAGCCCGGCAAGTCTGTGTTGACATGGACAGATATTAGTTTGGTTGCAAGTTATTTAGCCGGGAAATAAAATGTAAGATATATTTCACCTCATCAGAGCAGTGACAAAAATCATGTATTTCACTCTTCAACATCAACTTTATTGATCCTTAGGAGGGAAATTAAGAGTGATTCAGCAAGTCCCCCAACAAGACATAAAGAGTCTAAGTTGATGTAGTGAATACGATAATTACGTTTCTTTAAATTAATTTCTTGTTATATGTTGATTTCAATTAGCAGTGTTTCCCAGTGTGATGCCACAACTCTTCAAGACTGATAACTGGTTTGCATCGTGTTGAGATCAATTTTCTGTGTGTATGTGCAGGACCTTTAACGATACAGGGGTTCATCTCATTATCCTTGTCTCCTCCAGTCTCTTACCCATCTTCATCACTCACTGCAGTGGAATGAGGTGCTTTTGCCTCGTAGGGTTGTTCCTTCTCTTTTGAAAGAATCTGCACACCCACACAAGTGTATTCTGTTATTTTGGCAAATTAGACCTCTTTATTTATGGTTAAAGTTGGTTTGGGCACCAAACTACACGTGTAAATTAACAGGTGCGACAAAACTAACCAGGAAGTCAGAGATATGTCTGTGAAGCACAGCTTAAATGGGTGGACCATATGAGTAAAGGGTCTTTGAGCCGCTACAGCGTTTACGCACACTGACCAGAAAGCCTCTGGTCACTGGTAGCATTAAATACATACAGTCATATTAGACTTCCTGTATTTAGCAAGCTGACAGCATAATTTGAGAGAGTTTCAATATTATATCAGTATCTTTATTGTTTCATCAGGCAGATCAAACTAAAATAAATGGCTTTTGTGTGTTAAAGACTCCCACTGGTGGGACAAAAACAAAAATCCCAGGATGTCTTCAAGGCAGGAGAGTCTCTCCACTGAAATCCTTTTTTAATTGGCATGTTATATAGACCTGTGTGAGCTGTGTTGGGGGAGACTCATAAGACTCATAAAGTTGGTACAGACAGGAGTTGCCCAGCAGGCGCGCATGTGTGCGTGTGCATGTGCGTGTGTGTGTGTGTGTGTGTGTGTGTGTGAAGGGTAAACGTTATGTTATTCTTGGTCCTGTGTGACAGAAAGAATTTGGAGAAACGCCACCTGGGATGTTCGGGATGTTCTTTCATTTCTCGGTAAATCACCTTAGTTGTGCGTGATATATCTCAGGAACTGGAACTGGTTCAGACATGAAGATGCGCATACACACACACACACACACACACACACACAGTAGCCTACATTCACACATACTTGTAATTGGTTCTGTAAGTACAGCAGAGTGTCCCTTTCCACCATCTTTCCAATTTTCTGTGCTGTCAGTTTGTGCAGTGTTTCTGAAAAGTGACTTGTATCGACAGCGGAAGGGTTGTGGCTCCCGTTTAATCCCACTCCAACTCCCATCTCGACGGGTGCGCTGTGAAATCATCCTCCCAATTAACAGGACAACAGAGAAACACCACCACTCACCACTTATTCACAATCCTGCAGTTGCTTTTATCTCCTTTACTCTCCCTCTTTATTTCTCTTTTCCCTCTTCATCCTTCTTTTGTCATGCACACTCTTTTCATGCTTTAAGACCGCAGTCCATGTTCTCTCTTTCCACAGCTATCCCTCCAACATTGATGGAGCTGCTTAATGATGCACAGGCCTTAAAAATCACTAAGTCATTCATAGGATTCACTGTTGAATATGCCTGCTCTCCTCTCCTCTCCCTCTTTTTCTTCCTCACTAAAATGTTCCATTTTCCACACAGCGCCTTTATAATCTGAGATGTCTCGGACTGCCTCGTTTGGTCGCTCTAAAACTTTTCCCAACAAAGCAGGGAGGGAAATTGCATCCCAGTTTTCTATAGAGATTTAAAGCGTTTTAAGAAATGTGAATTATTGATCTTAAGTGGATTTATTCTGATGTCGTTTTTGAGTGTGGGAAGATTTCTCGCTGTGCTGCATTTTGTGTGTGTGTGTGTGTGTGTGTGTGTGTGTGTGTGTGTGTGTGTGTATTGGTTTGGGAGCATGTTCATTGTGTGTCTATTTGGGGTGGTGATGAAGGGGAGTTTGGGCGGGAAGATATGTCTGTGAGGGTTGTGTGCGTGTGTGTGTGTGTGTGTTTGGGTGCTTGGATAAGTGAATGAATTCGGCAATGGGAGGGATTTGTGCATCTGCAGCAGCTGCAGAATCGTCTCTGCCTCATGCGACAGGGATAATGAAATAAAATTTCCAGAAGCACACTGAGGGAGGAGTAAGAGAAATGCCATCAACATGTTTAGATGAAATGAAGTCAATGAAGTCATTTCTCCCCCTCCCTGACTTTCTTTACCCCATGCATAATGTATCTTAATCTGATCTGAAGGCTTCGCTCTTAATGTTCCTTCAACCATAGATGAAGCCTCCGAGTGTGAAATTTAGCTGGAATTAAAGTTTTAACATGACAGCTGGCTCAGGGAATCCGTAGCTCAGCTCATCTTTGGGCAGCAAAGCAGCTAAAGAGAGTATGGAGAGAATAAAGAGAGCTAGAGAGGATGAAAAGAGGGGGAAAGGAAAGGAAGTGAGGATGTGAGGAAGAAGAGAGAATTGGTTTGCGATTAGAGAAAGAGTTTTCTCCATGACTGTTGCAGTGGGAATCTTATCTCGGGCCACAGCTCACCACCGTTACACACTTTTGTATGTTTGCTCGGTGCCGGCTGGTGTTTGCTGGTGTTTCATCGGGTGTTACTGCTGCACCGCACTACGTTGCTAATTCCAGCTAGTAATGTCGATTTTCAGCTGAAATTGTAATCTATTCATAGCGTAAAAGGATTGAGCACGCTGGCTTCACCTAAATAAATTACTTTGAAGAGAGCTGGCAATAATTTCCACACCTGCAGACTGTTTCATACAGAACAGAGATTAGTGTAGAAGAATGAAGAAGGTTGACACACCGGCTTTCTTCAAGGCTCTGGGGAGGCGGGTCTGCTCAGTGGTGGAGTGAAGGGCTGTATATAGTATGTGTTTATTTGTGTCTTCTTGCATAGGGAGTGCTGTTAAGTGTGGACCAGTAGAGCTGGGCTCTCCAGCTAATTGGCTCTTCTGTGTGTGGCGGCAAACTTACCAGTACTCCCAGTAGTCCAATTGTGCCCTGGGCTCTCAGTGCAAGCAGACAGCCATGTAATCTCATGCGGTCCTGCCAGTTGATCTTTGCTGTGTGTGTTTGTGTGCATGTTCAGGGATTCCTATTTAACCAATGTATGCCATTTTGTGTTTCTTACATGTGTGTGGGTTTGGTGTTAACTTAAATGGAGCCTGTGTAACTTTTACTCTGTCTCTATAGTGGCTAGTTTGCTGACTTTTTGAGTCTTCTCTACTTACTAATGTTACACTTTATTTTAGCATGTAAACTGTAACAATGAATGATCCTCCAAAGTCTGCATTTCTAAAATGAATATGTGGTAATGGACTGACAAACTCCGACAAATACAACAAAGAATTGTTCTTTTGCCCAAATTTGATGGACAAAACACATGTCAGTACCCAGTAATACACTGTGTGCTGGTCTGCGTTCAAGCGATCCTCGTCCACTTGCAAAAGCTGGAAATGCCGCCACATTTTATGTACCAGGTATTTCTACTTATGGTCACCAGTGATACATCAGTTGATCTATTTTAGAGCAATAACAGCAGCAGGAAGGAAGGACTTCCAGTATCTCTCCTTCACAAACTGCGGGTGAAGCAGCCGGTCACTGAAGGAGCTGCACAGTGCTGTTAGTGTCCTGCTTGGGGTGGGAGGTGTTGTCCATCAGGAATACAATAAAAAAACAAAAACTCCATTGCAAATCCTCACATTTAGAAGCTGGAAACAGCCAATCATTGGCATTACTTTGAGTTTATATTAGTTTAATTTGAGTTGTAGACACACATTCAGCTTAGCCTACAGGACTCATGCTCCTCGGCAACAACCAGCACTTTAGTTAGAAAACGGCTTATGTCTTTCATTCTCTTCCACTTAGAAACACTCTCCCCTCTCTGTTTGTCTCCCGGCAGGCATTCATGGAGGATGTCAAGTCTCGCGGGCCGTTCATCTACTCAGTCTTGGAGTCTGCCCAGGCCTTTCTGGCTCAGCATCCCTTCCAGGAGCCAGAGGAGACCCTGACTGATGGAAAAGGTCTGCTCCCCTCATACTCTGTGCCAACTGCTGCGCCAGCCAAAATATCATACTCACAACCTCCCTCTGCTAAGCCCCGCGGAGTTCATTTGGTAGGACCCATGCAGGTGAAATCTGCCATTAATAGTTATTAGCAGTGATCCGTCGTCTGGTGTCACACTGGGTTTAGGGAAGGTGTCTGGGTCGGGGCCAATTAGGTCCAGCTCTGCTATACCATCTGCTCAGATCAATAATACAGCAAGCTCTGCTGTTTCTCCACCGACACGTCCTCTTTCTTAAAGTTTTGCTCTCAGCACTGCCCTCTTGGGAAATACTGTAGCAATCTACTTTACTGTTTTCTCCTTACGTGTCCAACTTGTTTTGCTCCCTTCCTTCCTCCGTCTTTCCTTTCACAGAGTCGGTGTCTCCAATCATTGCTCTTCTTGTTGTCTGACCTCTAACCCCTGCTCTCCTCTACACCCTGTTATTTCTCCCACTGCTTTTTTTTTTTTTTTACTTCCTCCTTTGCAACTTTATGCTTTTACCCTTTTATGCGTGAACCCGTCTACCCTCTTCCACCCTCTGCAGAGGTGTCTCCACGCCGGCGAATCTTAAACGTGAGCCGTTCAGTGTGGAAGCAGGCAAACGTGGCCAGTGACCTGTGGGAGAAGTTGACTGCACGCTGTGTGGATCGCCATAGGTCAAGCACTTCTTTTACCTTGTGTGTAGATTGAATGTGGTTTCTGCAGTGGTGGAAAGCACTTTATTTATGTTCAATTGTGAAGTACTTATAGTTGACTTTAGTGTTCTATCAAAGAGGCATGTCACCTCTAATCTAACTGTTGTTATTTTAATAATTGATTAAAGACTGAAAATTGATTTCAGAGAAAGTGTAGCAGAACTTTTTGTTTTCTGTTTTTTCTTTTCTTTCCAATTCATATCATCTCATGATATTAGATCCTTTGACTGAGCTATTTGCCTCTTCGTATGTTTTGTATACTCATGCTGTGACCTGGAATTTATTGTCCGTAACTGTTACTTATTTAATGTGCTGTTGCTGTCTTGGCCAGGGCACTTTTGAAAAGGGGATTTTTGATCTCAATTAGGCTTTTCCTTGTTAAATAAATTTGAAATTAAGCAAAAAAAATAATACATTTATAAATAAATACATTTTTTTACAAAAAAAAAGGTTTTTACCATATAATAGTAATATGCCTGTAACTATTCGAGCTATGAAGTCGAATGTTATCTCTCCCTGTGATTGTGAGTGCGTGGTCATGTAATACATTACATGTAATACAATTACCATAACCTGATTACAACAACTTTCTAATATAATCCATTACAGAAACAATTAAGAAAATGCATTTGTCAAGTTTTAAAGTAAAAAAAATTCAGAGCTCACTAGAATATTGAAACATGTTTTTGAAGAAAAAGCACTTAGATTATGAAACGATGGTATGAAATAATTTGGGCACAGCTCTACTGAAATTACAGTCTGTAAATTTGCTCTATGGAGTTTGATAGATGTATTTGCTTGCATTACCTCCACATTTTAATGCTGCAGGCATTAACTGTCAGGAATTACGTTTTTCAACGAAACCCCCAGACACATGGAGAGGACATTAGAGCGTCTACTTCAGGTCCAGGCGGCGATGGAGGAGCTGGCAGTGGCCCTGGAGCAGGCAGAAGGGGTGAGAGACGCCTGGGAGCCCGTCGGAGATCTCTTCATCGACTCTCTGCAGGATCACATAGACGCCACTAAGGTAGACACAGGAAACCACGCTGCTTCACATACGAGCTCTCTCTTTCCCCTTATCGCTCTCATCCACATACGCTTGTACACGCAGACGCATTATCATAAATTCCAGATATAAGTTGCTTTAACCTGCGGAGCAACTTGATTGTCTCTTTTGAAATAATCGCCCCAGGCTTACCCTGAAAAAAATATTGTGAGACATTGTAAACAAACATCAAAACACTGACAGCAGTGATATATTACTAATGAATAACTGAGAGGTGTGTATCAGGCTGTGTTGCTTTAAAAGGTTTGTTTTGGTTGCCTGTGTACACATCCCTGATAGAGTAGCTGTGATCTGACAGATGCTGACAAGGACGTGGCACTTCAAACTGGCATGGTGAGATGGCAATCCCCAAGTCGAATAGATGTTAGACAAATCGCAGGTCATTGGTTCAGTCATTATGTAATGCCAACATGTCATTTTGTGGCGCTATTCATTAGAAGTGTGGGCCCTTCACAACAATTATCTCACTGTCACAGACAGCACATGTTCGGCTCGGTGGTTAGGGCAGGCTTGTCAATTGGCCTCATCTGTAACTCACATTTACACACAAGATACAAAAGCACACACGGATGCATGCAAATGAGACACACATACATTATGCACACTTGCATACACACGTATAGGGCTGCGACTAAGGCTTATTTTCTATAATTTGGTCTCTAAAATGTCATAAAATAGTAAAATATGCCTGTCACAGCCTCGCAAAATCCCGAGGTGACATTTCAAATATCTTGTTTTCCAATCAACAGGCCAAAACCAAAAGAAGTGTCTGTTACTGTCACATGAAACTGAGAAAAGCAGCAAACCCTCACATTTAAGAAAAAGATCATCCTAAAATGTTTAAAAAAAAATGAATCAATCATAAAAATAGTTGCCGATTAATTTCCTCTCGATTGACAAAATGTACTATTTTAGCTCTACACTCACAGCACGCACTGACACATGATAACAGTGAGGCATTTTTTTAATACTTCTGCTTGTCATTTTGTTGCCTCTGCCTTCCACATTGTCCCTGCTGGTCTGTCAGCACAGGAAGCACATTCACAGATATCAAGGATTGATGTCCTGCCATTAAAATAATCCATTTTGTTGAATTTTTTTATCTCCAGAGTGAATCTTCCAGAGGGTTACAAATTGTTCAATATGCAGTATGCATTTGGGTTGGAACATTATTTTTATGTTTTTACTTGAATTCACATCATGTCATTCAAATTACACACTGAGGAAGGAATGCAGGGAAGTAATCCTTAAAAAAACATGTGACTTCAGGCTGTCAAATGGCTGAGTGTGCTGGAGTTCCTGCCATGCAGCTCTCTGGTATTGAATGCCTTAAAGTACCTTTCACTCCCAATCTTGTAAGTGTGTAATGCCATAAAAAGACACCAGTCCTTGAAAAAAGTACTGTATACATTTTCTGTTGTCCCTCATTGTTCACATGTAAAATCGACTTTGGACAGAGTCTGGTGCTATTCCAATACCATTATACATTTGTTTCACTTTCATTTATGTTGATATATTGCTGCAAAATATTTTCCTAGACAGAACAGAGCTGACAGCAAAAAACGGATACGATTTCAATTGATTTTTGACAGTTGGTTCAGACTAATGTTTGGCTATGTCTGAATATAAAATGTTGAATATCTCTGCTGTTTCCTCTTTACCATCCCCCTCTCTCTACCCTTGTCTCGCTCTCTCTCACACTCCTGCAGTTATTTAAGGAGGAGCTAACCCAAGTGAAGGAGGGCATGAAACACATCAATGATCTGGCCCACCAGCTGGCTATCTCCGATGTCCATTTGTCGATGGAGAACGCCCGCGCCCTGGAGCATCTCAACAGCAGATGGAAAGTGCTTCAGGTAGAGTTCACTGCTGGGTCTGCTTTGTCTGTTTGACATTGTCAGCAGCAGCTTTTTCATCAGTCAAATTTAAGGGAGACATTCGGGAGTGATTCCATGTGTTATGTTGTTCCGAATGCAAATTAAGAGCTTTTGTGAGGCTCCAATAGTGCCCACACGCCAGGCCTCCAACTGCTTTACAACATGTCTTCTATGTCTTTTTGAGCTTGTGAAGGACAACGGTGTGATTTAGGCATGGATAACAAGCCGTGTGTGATGACAAAATCTCTTATTAGAAAGGCTGATCAGATCATTTTTCAACTGGATAGATGAATGCCAGTTACTGTCAGGGATCTTGAAAAGCACTGAACTAAGTGCTTCATATGCAAGTGATTTATCAACAATTGTCCAGTTAGGTGAGTAGCACCGATCTGAACATAACATCCACGTCAAGGGGGCTCCATGGTGGCCTGTGGGTTGATGCTCCTACCATAAACTGCAACGTACCAGGTTTAAGTTCGGAGGAGAACCTTTGTCTCATGTTGTTCCCATCACTCATTCCTTTCATCTTCTGTCATCTCCTTACTGTCAGCTATTGAATAAAGGCATATATGCCACTCAAAAACACAAGCATGGAAGTTTTACTTGTAGCTTCACAAAAACAAATCTTGTACATTTAACAGTTTTGCTCATCTTTTGATGGTAGACTGCACAGTTCAAGTATATTTTGGGGTATTTTTTGCTCTTATTTGATGAAAGACAGTTGAGGATTACATGAAACAAAAGATCCCTGGCCGCACTCCAAACCACCAGCACATCCATAATTCCAGGGCAGCGATGTATTTCCATTCTTCTCAGTTCATTTCAAATTTATCACATGCTCGACTCTTTTTTTTATGTTTTGTAACCCATCGGGATGAAAGTAAATTGAGAAGAATAAAAGAATAATTAATTGAAAATATATCCAATTTCCTATAACAAGCATGTTTGCAAAATGATCAGTTAATAAATGTAACAAGTGTTACAATAAATGAAGTTAAAATGTAGGTAGTAAAAGGGCTAAAACATGTTTAACCAAATGTGCTGTTAACATAAGGCAAGGCAAGCATCAGTATGAGGGGCTGGGGTTTACAGAGATTATCTGAGCTGCTAGAACTATTTTAAAATGTGAAAATGTATATTTCGATCAATTTCTATCCACATCAAACGGCCCAAACACACCAGTCTCATTATGGATCTGTTTTCTAAAAGCAGTTGTTTTTCAGCAGCACTTCATTTATGTGATGAGTTGAGCTCAACATTTATTTATTTTTTCACACTATTGATCAGAATGTTTAAATGTTAACATGTACAGTCGCTGTATAGATCACGTCTTTGGTATTTTTATGCGTCATGAATAAATATACATATAAATATAATAACTTACATTTATACACAGTTGCATGAAGCGGGCAATTCTTCAATGAATCCAAGGCATTTACTCTCAAAGCCTTTTAAAAATTTCAAGGATAAAGTGCCTTGAATTCATTGAAGTGGACTTTGCCATTCCCCTCGATGCTTAGCTGAATGTATGGATGCATTATCCAGTGAGCATTGCCTCCATCAGCAACCTCTGTAGTACTTGTAGTAGCAGCCACTCACGTGAGACCCCCTGTTCCCATTAAACACCCTTCATGACATCTTCTCCACAGCCTGCTGTTGATTGCCTCATCATTATGTTTTAATTGCCACTCTTCCTGTCTGTCTCTCTCTGCCGACTGAACATGATGATATTATCGTCCAACAATTCCTAGATATAATTTTCCACTTTGCACACTCACTGCTCCCGTACTGTTTGCGACTTTCGTGTTAGGTGGTAAAGACGGCAATGCTGGTTTGTCAATTGGTCAGTTCACCACTTTGGTCCAAACAGAAATATCTCAACCGTTTGTGGAAGGAGTAGCGTTAAACTGCGTACAGACATTCATGGTCCCCAGATGGCGTATCTTAATGACTTTGATGACAACAGAGCAGCTAGCATGGCTGTAGTCTCCCACGCCGTGTCCCAAATACATACTGATTGTGAGCAGGTTGTTAGTGTAGGGTGTTTTACAATAGAAAAATGAATAATATTTACACAAACCAGACATGCATACGGTTGATTCTTGAGTGTGCTGTTGATGCATACTTTTCAATGCACAAAGGAAATAGAGGAGCAGCTGACAGCAAGAAAAAAAGTGTGTGAAAAATCTTGGAAAGCAAAAGTATAAGATCTTAAAAAACTATATATTTTGATGTCTCTTTGTAAAGTTTAATTGGTTGCAGCTTTCTAATGTTGACATCTGATGTTCCATTTATTGTTTCATTTCACGTTATAGTGTATTAATATGTCTATAACTGCTAAAACAGTCAAGTATGTAGTAATTGCTGTACAGAACTATTAGTATGGTTTTGTGACTCTGCTTGTGTCTTCTTAAAAACAACTCCTCCTGTATAAGGTCCTTCTAAGGTGTTTAATTCTAGTTGTGTTGATCCATTTGAGGATACTCATTTGACCAAACCAGATCAAGTGTCCTCTTTGTTCCAGGGAGGTACGTCATATCCTATAGTTGCAGCTATAATGAGTGATATGCAAGCCTTTTTTTAATGTGTGGGATGGAATGAGCTTGCATATGAATAGAAACATTTGTCAGTCTTATTTTTGTCAGTAGCATATCTCTCTTCTGTTACAATTAAAGCACCTGAAAGGTTTCTTTCACGAGGGTCACGATGCATAGTGACGTTTAAACAATCAGTAAAAGCACTCAGATGGGCATTAAATTCCAATGCCACACTTTCTGGAACCTGAATTATAGAGAGCGAGAGATATCCTCTACAAATTGTCTCCACAGTCTCATGTATTTTAGGAAAGGATTGTTGGGAACGAGCTACAATAAAAGAACAGAAATTGCGACTCATCTTTCTCCTCATTGATGTTTCTTTGCGTTGGAGGTAAGAAGAGTCTTCATGAAAATGTTCTTTTACGGCACAATTTCTGCAAAATATTTGAAGCACTGTGCACTGCAGTTGGTAGTGTGTCCTCTGGTCTTTGATTCGAGAAGTAAGAATGCCTTTAATTGCCCCCTTGATGATCAACACTGTCAAAAAGGCTTTCAGTATCCATATTCACCAGCAGATCTTGGATTGTTCTGAGTTTCTGTGATTGTAGATCCCAAGAGACATATGATGAGGCAGGTGTTGCAAATGGTTTTGAGAGGGGAAAAAAAGCCTTCTTTGAGCTGCTTTGCCTGCACCCCGGTCGATCTGCTATCTCCACTTTTTCATGTTAATTAATTTCAACGCAATGAGATGCACTGACCTGCTATCTTTCACTGTGAAAACAAGCAGATTGGAGGAACCTTGTTTCTTTGTCTCCCTCTCTGTGTCCTACTTCTCTCTTAATTAAAATGATAAATGCTAAATCCCAGCAACAACCTGTGCCCTGTTGGTTTTGGCTGCTCTGCGAAAATGTATTTCCAAATTTGATTTGCTAATATTTGTCGATCATGGATAATTCAGTCGTTTGTCTTCCTTATGGAAACCCAAATTGCCTAAATAGATTGTACAACACCACACTGTTGGCAGTAACATCTCCACGGCACATTGACAATGCTCTATATTAGACCCAACCAATATTAATCACCCTCCAGATTATGTTGTTTTATTTTCTGCTGAGGGAGCAATGACATGTGCACACAGAGAAATGCCAACTTAATATATCTAACTTTACACATTAAGACTCATTGCCTGTGCCTCTCTTTAAAGTCTTAAGGCCCCTCACAGTTTCTCCTTTCTCTTCCTCTCTTTATCTGTCGCTCTACCTCACCGCGAGTGGATTTACCTCCCATTGTCTCAAACATCCAGCTGACAACGATTCATGTGCCAAATCCAATACATTTCAAATAAACCAGGATTAGGCAGGCTAAATCCCATTTAGTGGGAAACATACAGTAACTGATATGAAATGCTTTTACAAACGTAATTTAGTCTCTCAGTCTGCGTGGTTATTGACACAACTCCTGTGAAGCTTTGCACCCCACCCCCCCCCTTCTCTCTCTTCATTTCATCATCTTTTCCACACCGACATTGCAAACCAGGTGCCTCTGTCCTCGTTTCAACAAAATATATTATTTGGTAATCTCTGTCTTCATCTCCTACCTGCTGCTCTTCAAAGGCTTTCAAAGTCCTTCAAGAGGGCCAGTAGACTAAAAAGACATCATTTATATTCCATAGTTAACTAATGGAGGATGAACAGGTGGTCTGTGTGCATATTTGTCTTTCTTTGGGGGATTTGTAGCATAGACAGATGTACAGCACAATTCCCTTTGATTTAACTCTGCGTGTGTGTGTGTGTGTGTGTGTGTGTGCGTGTGTGTGTGTGTTTGTTCTCAGGCTTCCATAGAGGAGCGGCTGAAGCAGCTCCAGGATGCACACAGAGACTTTGGCCCCGGATCGCAGCACTTCCTATCCAGTAAGAGTCCTCTACTGCTATTTGAAGTTGGTACCTGCACCAATCTGTGCCATGCTGTGCCAAGACACTGTCTCAGAGTGTAGGGGGATGAAAAGGTTAGGTGTGTTACACTTTTTTACGATAAAGCTTTAAAACACGGCGTGTATGTTTGCGTGTGTATTTGGGTTAGAGGTGGAGCTGACAGGCTTTGTACGTCTGTCTTCATCAGATCCAGCACACCGTTGCGATAGAAATCCCCAGCGATGCTCATCAGATCCTCTCTAATTTCAGCAGAGATACATATCTGTGAATTCTGTGTCTTCTTTTACCTGCTGCTCTTCAAAGGCTGCAGAGATGCAGCAGGAGGGCTGAAAATGTGATTTTTTTTTTATTTATTTTTTTTTAAAACCTAATTTAAACTGATTTGTGTTGAAGGGCTCCCCGTGTGAGTGCATCTGTAGCGGTGTGTGCGCTTATGTGCTTCCAATGTCCTCACCAAACCTCATCCACTTTTACTGCTGTCATGCTGGCTCAGAGATGCCACACTGGGGCTTATACAGCACTATACCCAACTGCCAGCTCAGCCCGCTGCGCCCTGTAGGAGCGTCTGTGTCGGTTCTTTATGCATCAACATGCATTTATTTCAGTATGTCGTTTGAAATAGCACATCAGACATATGGAATATTGATTATGACACTTATTTTACATAGACAGATGGATTTGTGCTGTAGTGGAATGTAACTGTGTACATCTACTTACAGGTAAGTACTGTACTTAAGTTAAATTTGAGGTACTTTACTTGAGTATTTCATCACTATACATTTATCTGGTAGCTATGCAAATTAAGATTTTAACATTTAAAATGGGTTACGTTTATATAGTTACATAGTTAAAGGTAATATTAGTGGCTTTTAACCTTTTTAGTTTTAACCCCTTATAAAACACAGTGTCTGCTTGTGTCATGTTTCACATGGTGACTTCTGAAACATTACATTTAAATAACTGTTTGAGGCTCAGATACAAAAATCTACAATAATTACTCCCAAAAAGCCAAGGAAGAGTCAAGAAAAGTAAGACAATTTTATGTTGCATAACTTTTTTTTTTTTTTTCTTTACTAACCCATCAATCATGTCATGACCCCCAGATTTAACTTGTGACCCTTTTAGAGGGGCCCGGCCCCCAGTTTGGGAACAACTGGACTAAACTACCGAACTGAATTATAAAATAGTTTAAACTAACTCCACCTACAACAGTAAAATGCTACTTTTGTATTAATGCGTCAGTATTAACATTCTAACAATATAATATACAATAATATATCAGTCAAAGCGGATATGTTTCAGCACAAGGAATACTTATGTTTTATGTACATTTTGATGATAATTCTTCTGTAGGATGTTGAATGCTGGACTTTGACTTTTAATGGAGTATTTTTACATTGTAATATTGGTACTTTTAGTTAAGTAAAGGATCTGCATACTTTCTCTGCCTTTGGATTCGTGAGTCTACTTCAGTCTTCTGTGCGTGTGAGTGTTTTTCACATATGCAGAGCAGCAACACACAAGTCTGCATTGTGCCATGTCGAGATGCAATAATGGACAATGACTGGTGTGTATGTGTGCGTGTATGCCTCTGTATCAGTGTGCCTCTTGCTTCTTCCTGGGCAGTCTCTTCCTCTTTGATCCTCTGCTGGACCCTCTGTGGTCCAGTTTGGAGGTCGGTTTAAACACTGCAGTCATCCCGTCTCACCGACTCCTCTGCCTCCGGTGTTGTATTCGGCCGTGCCAAACAAACCAACACTCTGTGGAAACCCGACACAATAGACGTGCCTCTTTGGCTTTACAGTTGTAAAAGTGCACAATGGCTTTTCATGCGTCACATGCCAGTGCTGAAATTGATTTAGTTTCTGTGTGTTTGCACAGGTTCAGTGCAGATACCGTGGGAGCGTGCCATTTCCCCCAGCAAAGTGCCCTACTACATCAAGTAAGTGCAACTTCAGGGTCAGTTTCTGCGGTGTGTGTGGAATGTCTGTACTTTGGCTGGATTCAGTTGGGGATGTCACATCAAAAAGTTGGTGAAACATTAAGGAGTGGCAGCCATATAGCCTGATTTGTTTTTATTTCCTTATTCAGTTTTACATCGCGTTCATGTTAGCCGTTTTCTCTTCTGGAGAGGGGGTCATTTAGCAGTAGCAAATCAGTTGTGACTGATGTGTCAGTTTAATTGACATAACTTTCAATCCACACAGAAACTGGGGTAGCAGTTGCTTGGAGCAGTTAACTTAACATTTGGTATGTTGATCATAGAATTATGATAATATAAGAGTCGTTGCCCATTTCACCCTGTGTATTGATAATTTCCCGCCTTCAAACCTCTGATTGGCTTGGCTACTTTTCCATGCAGGAAAACAGCGGGCAAAGCACCAGACAGAGTATTTGAATCACTGAAAATATCAGAGATAGGCAGCAATTCAGAGGCCTGGAAGAAAGCTACCAGCTTCATGCTTCGAAAAACAAATCAAATCACATCTCTAACTGTAAAATACAGCTGAAATGTAAGCACTTCTTGCCTCAGATTTTTAAGATATTTCAATTGCCAAAGCATTTGTACAGAGCTACCACTACAAAGCAGATATACACACTAAATGATTCAGGAACTCTATTGAGCTACTGTGAACCCTATTTGCTTGAGCAATCATCTGTTTATCTATTTACCTCATCATTACTATTTCACCTTAGACTGATGCTGGTTTTATCAATGAAGTGTGTGTGTGTGTGTGTGTGTGTGTGTGTGTGTGTGTGTGTGTGTGTGTTTATGGCGAGGGTAGGATATCTTTGTGTGTGCAGGTTTGTAACTGTGCAAGCGTTTGTACAGTTTGTTCCATTATAGAAGTAGTATTTAGTTTCTTAATCATGTGCAACAGAACCTTGTAGGTCTTGTTTTAGTCTCCTAGTCATTTCTTTATGGGCTGTATTACTGTACCAACGGGGATGGGAATAGTATCCGAGTAGCACTATATCGGGTACCAATCAATGAGCGCTTCTGCAGGTAAACCAATGAGTGCTTCGCTAAAAGGCCCCTGGATGCTGGCATACATCCTGCTCTGGGGTTTCTCATTTATTTTGCTGCTCTTGTCCTTTTTTATTGGATCTTTTTTTCGGAATGTGCCCATAGAGCTAGTAGTGGAATCTGAAGGTGGTGTAAATGTATATTTTTGATGTGTGTGTGTGTCTGTGGGTTGGGATTTCATGTAGTGTCGCTGAGTGAAGATTTTTAAGTCACTGGTAGTATATCTCCAGCAGAGCAGCTGTGGTATGCAACTCTGATGCCTGAACCTGAATCATGTTTGACGTATGTCTGCACTTTACAGGCTTGAAATCTCTTGTAAACAATGGTCGCCCTATCCTGCCCTTTCATTTTTCTCTTTCTCTCTCACTACCCTCTGATATTAGAGTAGTGAGTAGTGTCATTTCTTTGACAGTCTGCCTCACCAGCCTGTCACTGCTTCCCTCGGCTCATTTGTACTAAATTTTTTTTTCCCTTGATCTTTCCGGCCTGCAAATGTGCACCTCCATTCTTGCCTGCTTCACAAATTCTTCTGCCCTTTTGTTTCCACCAGCCATCAGGCCCAGACAACGTGCTGGGACCATCCAAAGATGACAGAACTGTACCAAGCACTGGGTGAGTAAGGAGACAATTATAGTACCCTCAGAGTCGTGCTCATTGGCTCAGGACCCCCACTGGGCTGCAGCACCACCAGCAGCATGGCACCAGTGGGCTCCTGCTTTGAAGGCCCTGTCACACGGCTAATTAAGGGCCCTGTATTTCAAACACCTTAGGGACTACATCTCTACTGTCTTGAACCTACAAGGCCCAATTTGCCAGCGCTGTGATTGCTTTTTGCTCAGCCTTTAATTAATTGTGATTAAACAACATCATCTGTCTTACTTTTAATCTGATCTGACACAGAGAGCTTTCAAGGGGAGATAGGAACGCTGTCACATATACATGCTCAGCCAGACAAATGCATGCGCACATACACATACAGTATAACATATACGCCACTAATGACTTCTGCAATGAACTGATAACAGGATGAAGAGATAATGATGTCTAATTTCTCGATGGCAGGGTGGTGCAGGGTGCGTTTGTTTTCTCCCATCTTTTCATTTACTCTAATCTCTTTCCATCTCTCTCCCTCCATTAGCGGATCTGAACAACATCAAGTTCTCAGCATACAGAACAGCCATGAAGCTGCGGAGAGTTCAGAAGGCTCTGAGATGTATGTACAGTATTTCATCCATAGTATTTCATGTCTGCAGTGCTGGGATGGCTGGTTAAGTGATACACTGTTATCCTGTACCATCAATAACCCACGATGACAAGCTCTCTCCCGGAATAAGATATAACGATTAGTTGTGGCACATTTCTTTATTGAGTTGTCAAAGGAATCATCGCTCCTCTCTACACTACTTGGAAATGTAATTGAAAATATGCTCTCCATTGCCATTGGCTTTCAATGCAGAAATCAAAAGTATTGATAAACTCAAGAGCCACTAGAAACCACTCGACTGTCGGATTCCTTCCTCCTTTTCATTTCAGCCTGGATCTTTGGTGTTCTAGGTAATTTGAGCTATTGTTCCATTTGACGGAGAAGGCAATTCTTTTTTGCTCCGTTGTTGAGGCATGAAAGGCATGCACCGCTTGCTGGTTTGCCAAGAAGAATGAAGTGGATGCTTGTTTTGAAAAGATGTTATGCGAGAAGATCCCCTGTTACCCACATTCAAATAAGTTGTCTTAGAGGAATACAAAGACAAATGGTGCTGAACTTCTAGCAAACAACGTTATAGTGCATTACTGCTATCCACTGGACTTGAGTGTGGATCGGGAAATGCGCATGCGTGGAACGGCCAGACTGACGCAGACCCCCAATTGTGTGTGTGTGTGTGTGTATATATATGTGTGTGTGTGTGTGTATATATATATATATATATACACTCGATAGTGTATCATACTCGGGCTTTCTGCCCATTTTTCTAACTATGCTGATTCTCCCAATGCTTTTCTTCATGATAATTTTGTGTTTCTTTATGCCTCACAATCTGTGCTCTCTCAGTTTTTCCGTTCCTCAAACCTGGCCTTTTCTTTCTCCCTCTTTGTGCTCTCACAACACCTGCAGTGCTCTAACACCTGCTGACTCCAGATGAGCCACTGCAAGTGGCCGATTTCGACCCTTTTCCTTCCTCATGTTACCCCCTTTTCCTTCTCCACCTTCTCTTGCAACCTCCCTCCAACCCTCTCTCTCTACTCTAAGTCCCGAGTTGCTGTAATAAAAACTCGGCATGCTCAGACCACTGTGAAAAACCTCTTTCAATGACTCTCCCTTGTTCTTTCTCTTTCCCGCTCTCTTATCTCACCCTACTAGTTGATATCGTCACAGAATTTAATTGCCAAGCTGCCTTGATAACAGGGCTCGCACTCTTTCTCGCAGCACACTTTGTGAATGATTGAGCAGTGCTGCAAAAGAACCCATCAAAAATACATTTCTCAGTGATTCCCTCACAACCCTGAGAATACTCCTGTTATCTCCTCTCTCTGTTCTACCTCATTATCGTGCTATCCAATTATACCTGGCATCCACGGACACCCTTTTAGCTCTACTCCTAGGGATGGGCCATCAAATTAGTTTAGAAGAGCAAAATCTAATTTGTGTCACTGCTCTCACAACATCTGGTCGGGCGTAAGTGGGCAAAAAGGTTGAATAAGCACTGCGCTGTCGCCTGTGCTCTCATTTGCTGAAGTGAGGATAATGATCCTGCTCTGTGTGTGTTTGTGTGTTCAAAAGTAAATGTCCAGTCACATATATATGCGTATATGAATGCCTGTGTACATGCGCTCGAACCGACATCAGTTCAATTTATTTCAAATCATGAAAATGTCACATCAAAAAAAACAAACAGCACATACACATGTTCTCAATGAAAGTGTTGCAGTTAAAATACTTTCCAGCATGTTCTAAACTAATAATATATAATCCATGTGTGTGTTTTAGTGGATTTAGTGGCGCTGAGCAGCCTCGCGGAGGTGTTTCGGGAGCGGGAGCTGCAGCAGGGGGAGCATGTGATGGACGTGGTGGAGATGATCCACAACCTGACGGCTCTGTACGAGAGGCTGGAGGAGGAGAAGTCCATCCTTGTCAACATTCCACTTTGTGTCGACATGTGTCTCAACTGGTTGCTCAACGTCTACGACAGGTGGGTGAGCTAGGGTGAGATGTTCCCAGGTATTTATTAACATCTACTTGTGCTGAAAGCTGCATTGAGTATTTTTATCAAACAACAAAGTTTTTATATGGTATTGGCTTATTTAGTGTCTACACATCAAGCAGACACAGTAAAATATGATTCCTTTGGAGACTAATACTTATCTGCCTTTTAGCTTTTATTTTGTCTCCACCAACTCCTGAGAAAAGTGTCTTTACCTCCAGTGACAACTTGCTTATTGAGTGTTTAATGTATTTTGGCTCAGTTGGGACTGGGGTTGGGACTGAAGACTACAAGTTTGGAAATAAAAAAAGGGATGTGGAGTAAGAAAGAAGGGATCTTACCAGACCTCTGTAGCCCGCTCCTCATCTCTGCTTGAGGCTAACAAGGCTACATTAGCGGCTACTTGCACAACACACCAGCATCTGGGTAGTTGCGTCGTGGGTAATGTAGGAACCAGGCTTTGACAGAGACGAAGAATGCACAGAGTGGCATAAATTCAGTCAGGTGACAATGTTGTAGAGTGCACAGCTAAATCAGTGCAGCACTCCTTTAAATGACAGACTCATCTCTGTCATGTAATGCTCATAATGTTTGGTATTATAGTGACAGTTCAGATGAGTTAAATGGAGTTCACCTGCAATCCATCTGAGTTTTTTGTTACTATGCATGCGATTGACATTGTAAATCTGGACTGTGACCTTTCCTTTAGTGGATTCCTATTTCTATCTATTCATTTTATTGTCTGATTTGCTACTTAAGGAGCATGCAACTCTCTTGGGTCGCTTTAAATGCAAGAAATGTGCGTTTCAGTTAGTCCATGACAGTGATATACTATAGTACGGTATGATGGTTCTTTTATGTCTTGAAATGCTGCAGAGCCGGCATTGTAATACTTGTGGTTGCAAAGGGACCCTTTTACATTACAACAGGCCATTTGAGTCGATGGTAGTATCAAATAATGAAGCTTTAGGTAAATATACACACACAGACACTCACTATGTGGAATCTTATGCCACTATAAACGGTATCAAAACTATATTTAACTATTCCTCACAGTCCGAGCACAGACCGTCTGCAGATTGTTGTGAGTGGTTCAATCGCTTGTTGTACATATCTATAAAGAGCCACAGTGTGGTTAAAGCTCCAGTAACAATGTCCAGGCAGAGAGCCAATAATGCCCTCTGCGACACAGCAGAAACAAATCCTCTTTAACACCAACTTTCACCCCGTCTTTGCTCCTGATTGAGCGTTCTCCAAAGAGAAAACACCGAGCACAGAGGCAGAGTTACAGGAATAGCCCCGCCATTGCTGTAAATTCAGTCGGTAGCTCTTAACTACTCGCTGCTAATGAGAGACAATCAGAGAGTTTACCCTCTGCATACATTTCAGTAATTGCTTTTTGTTTTCCAATACATAGCGGCCGTGAATCTGATTGAGATGTGCGTATGTTTGTGTGTGCATTTTTGTTTGTGTGTTTGCATCGCGGTATATTACAGCGTTCAAAAGGGGTCACACTAGCAGGGTGTGTAGGAGTGACATGTCCCCTGAGGGTCAGCACTGGAGTGCATATTAAAGATGGCACACGACCGACAGCAGACAGTGTGTGAAAGGTGTTGCTCTCGAGCTCCTCTCAACCAACTCCAGCTCTGAATCTAACAGGGAAAAAGACAGTGTCCCTACTTTGTTGTTGAAGGCAACATCCCAGCTCTGGAAATTCCACTCTCTCTTTGATTACATTTTATACTTCATTGATCTGACGCTCTCTGATGAATGTGATGTTCTTGATTTCTCACTTAACTATTCAAATGTTAATTCGATAAACCGGAGGTTTCTGCCAACGCCAGTAAAATCTTCCTGGCTGTTTTGGCACTGGAGCTGTGAAATGTCAACACGAATGGTGACGATGTGTTTGTGTGTTTTATATCAAGCTGGAAAAAAGAGAATGAGACCCTTTAAGGCTCAAGTCAGTGCACAACAGCGTCCATCTCACTGGCCTTGCCATTGGCCAGTGATCGTTTATTCTATTTATTCTGCTGAGGACAGCACTTCTGATCCTCAAAAATACTGGATACGAGTATGTATTTGAGTGTTTATGCAGTATGCATGCATGTAATTGTCTGTAAGTGACACTGTGAGCTTATCATTGCTCTTCTGGCCCCTCTAATATTTTTACTCTGTTATTGTATATATATTGTGCATTTGATATTTAATATTTTTACTCTGTTATTGTATTTACCTGTACCATAATTGCTGCTATAGCGAAAGAAAATTCCCCTTGCGGGATTAGTAAATTATTTATCTATCTAACTGAACAAAACGCTTCATCATCTGTAGTGCCTTTAGGTACTCTGGATGTGCTCTAATACAATTTCACACTGACCTGTACTGTACTGCTTTGACCCACGTAATTCCTCCTCACTTTGTCCCTCACGTTAGGGCCCAGTCAGTGTATGAATATATTACAGCAACACAATACACCGTGATTTGAGTTCATTCACAGTTCAAAAAATGGAACCTCACAACTTTTTTCTTCTTCCTCTTCTCTTTCTTTCCACTAGCGCTCGTAATGGCAAAATACGCGTTCTCAGTTTCAAGATGGGATTGGTGAGCTTGTGCAATGCAGACGTCCAAGAGAAGTACAAATGTGAGTCTGATTCTTGCTCATGTGCCTAATGCATCTCCTCAACTGCAAACAATGAGCCAAAACAAAACGGCCCTGATTGCCAGTAGTACATAAAGACATCCACTTTGTCTGATGGAGGAAATGAGTCTGCTGCTTTAAGGGAGAACGCTTTCTTTACTTCTGCAAAGTACATCGGGGGCCTTAAAAGGATTGCTTGCAAAAGACACCATTCATTTCAGTCATTTCACTCACTACCCTGTCTTTCTATAGCTCCCATTCCCATTTCACCAGTCAACTCACAAAGGGCATAGGGCGCTCCATTACGACTTTTTTCGATTTAATATGAGACATATTTAGTTTAGAAGTCATCATGTAAATATAGGTAAAATGGAAAGTGAGCATTTGAACTGATGCTAGCTGGACCTGGAACAGCTTTTAGTTGTTATAAGATCAGAAACAACTCTGCCAAACCCATGCAAGGATTATTCAAGCCTGAAATGACAGATTTGCCTTCAATTGAATAGTCCCTGACGTGAGTCAGTCCTCTTTTTCTAGGTTCAGGTAGACGTGTGGTGGCCTTTTAACAGTTTGTCATTTCACTGACTATCCCGTGTTTGCCAACTCCAGACGTCACAGGAATGATATTTGCAAATAAATCTGAAGCATTTGCATCAACCCGCTTTGAGATACAGATGGTGGGTGTTTATTTCATCGTCACCAGTGAGTCAAAAAGGAATATTTGATTGACTTTGTCGTACACCGCACAGGCAGAATTTTGCAGACATCAGTATGTATTGCTTTCACACCTCATTTGACAAATTCACTACTTGCTGGTCTGTCACTGGCGTCTGCCTCTCATATTCTGATCAGAAAAACATGGCGGCTATTTGAAAGGTTTTATGAAATTATCCAGCAAATAAGTTTCTGATTATATATTTGAGAGAAGAAAGAGTCCATACATTTGCAAAGGGGGTCGTTCATATGTTCCCAGGGTCCTATGGGTTATAATAGATTGGTAAGGAGATGGACATTTGAAATTAAGTTGGAATGGTTTAAAATCCATTCAGCTATTGCGAAGGTATTAATGTCTGAAGTCAAGAAAACTCTCTTGCACGCAAATTTGAGGTCGTAGGTTTTAAGGAGTATAACATCAGTAGGTTTTTAGTTGTAGGTGGGTGATTTAAACATATAGACCCAAGGTAACATACATTGAACATTTGACCAATGCAAAAATCATAGCTGAGAACATAAAACCTTTTGAAAGGTCTCTTAAATGTGTCATATTAAGAAGATATTGAGCAGGGGAACATGGATGTCTTTCGTAGATAGTTGTACATGAAGTTTTGATTGGTCTAAGAGGTGGTGAATCATCAGTAGGCGATAACTGACCTACTAATGCTCCAATAAAGCCATGTTTACCTGGTAAGTGATGTTCACTTTACGAAAAGCTTTATACCTAAAACTATCGGTGCGCAACCCCAGGCTAATCACTAATCACAACACACAACCAAACTTAGTAATGGATGTTCAGATAATCTTTCTTGTGCAGCCAACTCCAGGAATAAACCATTATCTCACTGCAGACTCTGCAACACTACAGGCTGCATGTTTCAGATGTAATAGGCCTATATACTGTGGTAATGTCTCCATAAAACATGTCCAAAACTCATCTCTATGAAACAGCTCAATGTGAACATTTAAAATGTCAAACACGCCTCAGCTCTGTTTATGAGAACTATAAATAGGAGGCTGTTTAACATGCAGGTGTTAAAGCCAAGTGTTGTCCCTGTAGGGTTGAATATGTACACAGAGAGGGGGATACATGGGATGCTGCTTATACAGGCATTGTGCAGCAGCCTCACACGCCTGTCAGCGTTCATCTCTTGAGTGACATGCGAGTCCCAGCTAGCTTGGTAAAGGCCTCATTCAAAACCTGACAAGACTCCACTTAATGCAACTCTTTCATCTCCAAGCAGACCAGCAGCCAGGACATTAAAACGTATTCTGTCTCTGGCTATATGTCACAAAAGTGAGTTTCATTACATATAACTATGTTTGGTAAACCAGTTGCCCGAGATTGGAGGCTCATTGCCAGAAATGAATGATTTAAAGCAGATGTGTTGTTTTTGTTTTTATACTAAAGTTATGCCATTATTTTGCAGACCACATATTTGCCACATATTTTAAATTGAGAATGCAAGCCTTTGTAATTAAAATCTACATTAAATATACATTTTGAAAAGCTGAGAACATGTAGCGATAAATTTCCTAAATAAGCAGATGTAGATGCGTAGGAGAAGTGTATGCAGATATGATGATAATAAAAAGAATTGTTCATGCATACAGATGCAGCGCACAATTAATGATGTTACACACGAGTTAGTTTCTGCATAATTGGTGCATTACTTTATGTATTTTTTGTATGTTCTGGTGGTTGCAGATTTATTCCGTCAGGTGTCTGGTCCTGGAGGTTTGACAGACCAGCGTCACCTCAGCCTGCTGCTCCATGAAGCCATCCAGATCCCCCGACAGTTGGGTGAAGTCGCTGCTTTTGGGGGCAGCAACGTGGAGCCCAGCGTCCGCAGCTGCTTCCGCGTGGTGAGGACAGAGTTACCGCCATGCACGGCACACCTAAACACATTCAAAGACAGGCAAAAGTGTTTGCTACGCACATGCACACGCCTACTAAAGACAATAAGAGCAGATGAAATCAGCCGTCTGGATTATGTAGTGAGTTCACCTTACCCCATTCGATCAGATAAACATTTTTCTGGCATTGATATCGTCTTGTTTCAGTCACAAGATTCAACTACTTTTGGATTTTACTGGCCCAATGTCCTTGTTAGTCGAGCCTTTTCACGCAAGCAAGGAACATGCTGACCTCCACTGGGGAGTGTTGTAACACTTGATGATGCTTGTTTCAGTCCTTGAATCAATGGCTTGATTGCTCCGACAACAAGTCGACCTTCAAATCCCACATTGCCATGCTGTTACAGTATACTGCTGTATCTCAAACCCGCTAATCTATTAATTACCGTGTACGAAAATAATGAGGGACCTCTGGAAAATCAGAACCGAACTTGTCTGTGCCAAGACAAAATTACAAATACAGAAACAGAATAATAAAGGCAGAAACTTCAAAACTGAGTTGCAAAATCAAACATTTGCCTTTTGAAGATTTCCATCAAAAGCCAAGTATGAAAAAATGATGATGTCAGATATGCGAATCCTATTGTGTTTTACTGACATCAGCAGAGTCCTTCAGAGGAAAGTTATAATTATTTTACCTAAAGAAGCCCCGACTGCACTACACATAGTCAGAGTGTTGCCTCACAAACGTTACTTCACATTAATATTGCATTGCTTTTAATGTACTTGAAATAAAGTGGTAGATAATGCATGATGTTTCCACTATTGGAATATTGATATGATAAAGTGAGGTCACAGAGTTCAGTAGCCGGCGGAGCAATAGCAAATGAGGAGACATGTTCAAAGCATGAATTGATGTGTCTTTCCCTCCTTAGCTTGTTCTTAATGCGTTAAGAGTTACGTTTGGCACAGGTTGCAGGAACTTTACCTTTCGACATTTAACTGGGGACACCAGATAATTAGGGACCTTTTTTAAAGGTGGCCTATGCAATCCTTTTAATTCCCTCATTTTTTAGGCAGATCCTAATTATACACATTTTATTCTGGTCCATGCTTGCTGTATCAGCTACAGCTGATTAAAATCAATTTCTTTCTCCATGTCACGGCATTTAGTTGAAGATGAAATATCCATGTAATGCGAATGGGGGGTTGACCTGCTTGCCCGTTCATCACTTGGCTTGCAAATGAGTGAGTCAGTTTGTTGAGATGTTGCTAGCACCTCTTGTGGACGTTGACTTTTAGACTCTGCTGGCAGAGGAGCAGATGGATTCACTTGGGACAGAGAATATGCAGCGACATACAGGACAGAGACATATACAGAACAATAGGACTGTATGTGCAGAGGTTATTTGGTCAAATTCAACATGAGAAATAACATTTAATACATATTTTTATACTTTATGAGAAGGGATGCATGTCGTTAAGTGGATGTATGGGGCCGAAATCACAGAGTTTTGATGGATAACTGCGTGTTTATCACTCTACTTTTGCCATGATGTTTAAAGCATCCCATCTGCTCAGTGAGCTGCTTAGAGATGCGGTGGCGTGCTCAGCATAGTCAGTGCTAGTTCCAGGTGTTTGGGATGCTAGCAGCTGCTATTTGACCTCCCACATGGAGCTGGCTACTTTACTACCAGAGAGGAGCTCCTTCATACCCGGGAGACTCTATACCTCTGTACACCTCACAGTCTGTGTGATCAGTGCGCACACACACACATTTATTATGCTGCTCTGCATGAGCAGTGGAGGAAGCCCCGGGGAAATCAACCTCTTAATGCATCTCTGATGCAGACTTAATGAGAATTTAGCACATCACGGATTTCAGTGCTTGGCGAGTCATTCTTTTATTAGGTTGACTTCCTTTTTTTATCCCACTTTCTGGAATTCTCAACAAGGTGTCTGTAGGAGAGACGGACTGCATGCAGACATACAAACACACATATAGTATACATACAGATTCATAAGTTATTGTTTCATAATTGTTTAAGTAGTTGCATAAAAGCTAAATATATCCCAAAGTGTTGTACATCTTCACTCACCCTGTCTTTCCTCCTCCTTTTGTATTCTCTTTGATTTCCTGTCGCTCAGTGCTGGACCACCTTTGGAAAGGAAGCACAGCTTCTCCTCTCATTACTTTGTGTACCTGCCCTGCTGTTGGTCTATATTTGGATTGTTTACAGTCTCCTCCCTCCCCCTTCCTTTTCCAGGCCCCAGGGAAACCTTCCATTGAGGTGTCTCACTTCCTGGAGTGGATGAGCCTGGAGCCCCAGTCGATGGTTTGGCTGCCTGTCCTGCACCGTGTGGCTGCTGCAGAGTCAACCAAGCACCAGGCCAAATGCTACGTCTGCAAACAGTGTCCCATCAAGGGCTTCAGGTAGGCATAACTTATCAGTGATCACAGTGGGCTATTGCACAGAAAAGAGTAGAACAGAGGATATAAATGAGGAACAAATACACATACACAACCCAAAAACATGTTAGGTAGAATACAATTGTGCAGTTATTGTCATTATGAGGGTGTGTAAATTAAACTTTAACTTCCTGCAAGTTTAATAGCATTATACGCCAAAAGAACTGGGTATTTTACTCATTGTGTGTTACCCAAGAAAAAGTCTTGTAGTTAGCATTATAACACTAACTTGTTAATCATTTGGATTAATACAAATAGGTGGGGACATTTTTGACAGTCAAAAGTAGAAGCAAAGAAATACATTTTTTTATAGTGGCAGCTGGTGTTTTCATTATATATAAGAATCGCTGCTAACTAGATAAAAGCTTGTTCCAGATGCTGGAACTAAGATACAATGTAAGATAATAAATAATAGGAGCAGCCGCACACTCCAATCTGTGCAATAATATTAATTTATTGAAGCAGGCTTCAAGTGTCATGATTGAAGGTCCTTGACAGAAAACTTGCCTCAAATTTGTTTTTATTGCACAGATTGGAGTATGCAGATGCTTTGCCTGTTGTTATGCAATGTTCTTCATTTCCATAATATTTGGCACAGAAAATAATTTGTCTACTGTATGTGGATATTGTATTCAAATGTTGTTTTCACCTTCCTTTATCAGTAATTTACACATAGATCAGAAAGAACATAGCTGAAACTAATCCCAATGCATTATTATTACTTGAGATACAGTCACTGACTTAGGTTGCTGTAATGGAGCACATACTGTACCTGTCTGCAGCAGAAAGATGTGTGAAATAAGCATATAAATTCAACACAGAGACATGCCCAGCCCTTTATTCTTCACACACACACGACGCCTTATTCTCTTGCATCAGTTCAGCCTCTCCGTTATATTGATCTTGACAGGTATCGCAGTTTGAAGCAGTTCAATGTGGACATCTGCCAGACATGTTTTCTAACCGGCCGCACTACCAAGGGAAAGAAGCTGCACTACCCCATCATGGAGTACTACACACCAGTAAGACAAACATCTAGTGCTTTAACGGAATACAAATCTAAGGCTCCAGGAACAAATAACACAACTATCTCCTGATTCCTGCTGCCAGACCTAGATTAGCCCCGTCTCTACTGTAAGATCTCCAAGTGTATACACTGTTATGTATGCTTACACTGCCTCATCCAGATCCGTAGTATGCAGAGATTGACTGCCACTCAACAGTAACATCCTTTTTGGCTCACATAGTGCACACATAAAGTGCTATATCTTAAGCGATGGCACACACAGTCTCCGAAGTTGAGTTAATTCCAAAGGAGCAGGTGTAACTGGAGTGCTGGAGTGGCCTGAGATCGTGCCAGATTTAATCTCTAATCAATTCTGAGCTGTACAATATGGCAAAAAGCCATCCGTACAATGATTTATTTTTTTTGATTGGATAATATTTTATATTAGCTAGCTAGAGTTTTTCACAACGCTGAGGCACGCAGGCACCCATAGATTTCTACTGTGATATAGATAGAGAGCAGTAAACAAGAGCGCCAGAGAGAGAAAACAAAGCAGAAAGGAAGCAGAGAGAGCAGTAAAAACTTAGATGAGAAAGCAGATAGAGGAATAAGTTAGTCACCTAAAGTCAAAATGAGAAGTGCTGAGACAGAGTAGACAAATTTCAGATGAGGTCATTTTGGAGAAAGCAACATATTGATGAAATCTTAAGCAGTGTAATTGATCTCCAACCTTTCCACCAACGCTACCCCCCCCCCCCCCCCCAACCCCTCCCCTCCTAAATCACAACTACAGACGACCTCGGGAGAGAAGATGAGGGACTTTGCCAAGACTCTGAAGAATAAGTTCAGGTCAAAGCAGTACTTCACCAAGCACCCGCAGAGAGGTTACCTGCCAGTGCAATCTGTGCTGGAAGCCGAGAACTCGGAGACGTGAGTCCCACACATGAACACTCACACAAACACAGACATCTCTCTGCTTTTCTGTCATCTATCACGTTTGTTCACCCATTCAAACTCCTGCTGTTGTTGGCCAATTCTCATGTTCTGACAATTTTTGGGCATTCTTTCTTGCTGAGATGGGTTAAAAGGATGGCTCTGTGTTCAGAATTAACATAATGTTATTTATTCCTGTGATCTCAGTCTGGCTCAGATACTCTGTTCACATGAGCGAGTCTCACCCAAAGGGAAAAACAAGAGCGATGAGACTAAAATCCATGAGATCATCAAGAAGCATAGCTGAGGGCTACGGCAGTACCCAGGGAGATTTAGCATGATTATCGGGCCATATTTTGGCCGACTGTGTCACAGTAAGGTCACCTTTTTTAACCTCGTAAAATTATTACATGAATCCAGGTAAACATTATTATATTTTATAATGCCTATTGTATATTATTGTATAATTATTTCTGATGCTTCAATGTATAAGCAGCATTTTAATGTTACAGCTGGTTGAAATGTTGCTGATTTAAACTTTTTTGTACACCTCGTGTGGTAGTTTACTACGCTGGCTTCTAGCCTGAGCACCCGTCAAGGGAGTTTTAAGATAAATCTGAAAGTCTGCCACGTTATTAACAAGATAGGGAAGAAGACACAACATTTCTGCAACACAAAATGTTTGTCAAATCTTTGCTCTCTTCTTCGTTTTACCTCCACATGACTGAAAACTCTTTAATTGAAACAACCTAAGAAGAGAACATAACTCTTTGTTTGAATGACACTTATCATTAGAATGAATGCAATCTCTGAACGCATCGGCTATCGCTCTGACGACGGATAAGCCTCTTGGCTACTGATGTGTCCTGTCCCTACCAAATACCCCCCCCCCCCCAATAAAAAAAAATAAAAAGCCAGGTTTAGCCAGAGAACAACCGGACCAAGACTTCCTTTTCCGTGCGCTGCTCAGTGTTTATATTCCGATAAGCAACTTGGGATGCGAGGCTGGAGTTGGAGTTTACAGACAGCGTGTTTGACCGGATTGTTTCACAAGATCCTAGTTTACAAGATAATTTTAAACCAACAAAGATCTAAATCGTCCTCACACGATAGCCGATGGCTTCCAAGATTGCATTTCATCACTCCACGTGGACTGTTTACCTGCATTCAGCATAAGCTTGCTTGAACGTGATTGGTCAACACTACTCGGACTGCAAACGGAAACCAGAACACTTCCGATGCCAAAATCTTGTCCCGTGGCCTACAGATTGCATATGAATGCAGAATCTGTTCATAGAATAAGGATGCTCAAACCAATCGACAGAGGCTGGGTCTGGAGTGGGGAAATCTGTTGCACGCGTTTATAGAAATAATGTGCAGCAGCTAACGTTGCAACATGAAGCATGTCTTCATCAGGGTAGGAAGACACAGTGGCAGTGTTGATGTTTAAATTGTCTGCGCCCAGCCAACAGCTGTCTCTCATTTGATAGACAAGGTTTGGTCATTGCTTATGTCTTGCCAATGACATATTTCCACAGCATATATAAATACATCATAGAAAACCATCAAAACATCTTTCTTTAATTAGTCCATTGCTCAGTTGTATTTAATGTATAAATCCAGTAGTTTTTTCTACACAGTCAAGATTCTTTGTGTGAATAGCCGTCCTGTTTTCTTCCTTATTGAAACATTCTTACTGTAACTGTAAGCTCCAGATCTCCTCACTGCAGATTCTGAACCACTCATAGCTCATCGAAATATGCAAACTGTGGTTAAGAGTCACGATGAAGTTATTGCATGACTATTAAGCGTCCCAAACATGTAGGGAACCAGTGGTTTAATCACCTGAAATGCATCACATGTTAAGACCATCATGTGTTTTGTGTCTACAATCTTAATCTGCAAAGTAACAATGATCTTAAATAAATGTGAGGGAAGCACCCCAAAGTTGTCCTTAACTTATAACACTTTGAAACAAGTCATACATCTCTTGCTTGCATCCTAACTGTGTTCACAGGTAAAACTGTGTAAATTAAGTGTTTCTTGATAATGCAACCACATCATCCATACTTGGAGTGTGTTAAAAATGCCTTGGTGAGGTAGTAACGTTTGGCTTCTGTTGTTCCCAGGCCATGCTCCTCACCCAAGCTGCCCCATGCAGACACACACAGCAGGATTGAACATTATGCCAGCAGGTACGTGGCTCACTGTGCTGTGCTGTACATCAAATCACACCACCAAAGCGTCTCACTTTGCTCTCTCCAAATCAACTTTTCCTCTTCTTTATATCCGCTCCACCCATGCTTCCACCTTCTTCTCCTCCCCGTCTTCTCTGCTCCCTCTCCTCACCCTTTAGTCTTCGCCCAACACACTGATTGAAGTATTGATTTAGCTACGTCGTGCTCTGTACTCCAGCCACGGTAGAGACTGAAGCCTACTGCCCAGCAGTTTCCCTCCCTCTTACACTCCACATGAACACACGCTGGCTGCCGCACATAAGCAGAGCAGTTGGTGGTTGTGTCTGTGTGTGTGTGTGTGTGTGTGTGTGTGTGTGTGTGTGTGTGGAGGT